CACATGACTCTAATGCGAATCATAATATAATTGTTGCAACTCAGTACCGTCGATAACTGAAACAGGACAAAAAGTTACAATGACATTGTTTATGATACGTATAACTATAATGGAGACGATAAGCTATTCCTTTCGTCCGTCCTTTCATGTTTTCGCTCACATTTAGCCCATTCTTGTTCTTCCACTTGCAATGTCGATAACACAACAACTCCAGCAATGACGTAAATGGCAGCGCCGATACCAAATACAATCAGCCAACGTTCATGTGTGTTCTATGTAATGAAATGAATAGACCTGATTCAATCACGGTTTCTGTAATATAGGGACACGTGTATGTGCTTTTAGTATAGGAAATAATTTTATGAATTGTCTTATTCGAAAAGTAATAATGATAGCAAATAGTTGTTAAATAAACTACACTATATTATTATATACATAAAAGATAAAGTTCTATTGAATTTAGGGTTTTTCGTTCCAAATTTAAAATTATAATATTCATTTATTTTTATAAAACGTGGCCGTAGATAATAAGTAATAATTTTCTAAATTGTAATGATTGTTCTAATTGTTCAAACAGTCTAGTGTGTCGGGAATATACTGACCTCGTCATTGATCAGCAAACTAAGGGTATACGGTCCAGCAAATCCGGATATTTAACCTACAGTGTTTGCGATGGCATAAAGAATACCTCCGAATCTAGGTGCTATTTCAACAAAGTTAACTTCAATCCCTACAACACCAGCAGCGGCAAACATTGTATTTAGACTGATGAGGGTTACAGCTAAACCTTCGTATCCACATGTGACGAGACCAGTGCCAATAAGAAAAATAGGTGGCAATAAATATGCTGAAAGACTGTCATGAATTTGTTTTGTGTATCTGTTGACCGACTTAATTAGCTGATTATTAGCGAATTGCTGTGTTATGTCTGTCATCGTTCAGGCCTATTTGAAGTTTTGGACGGAACTTGGCTCAGTGATTTGGAACTAATTACCAGATAACCGCCGCTATTTAGACTACTCATTCTGACAGTTTATATTCATAGTTATTAATGTAGTGAACGATTAATCAAAAGATATGACGTATTCAGTGCTTAGTGTGATTGGCTTTATGATTGAAGGTTACGCCCTAGAGTTTTTTTCTGTATTGTAATTGGTTAGAGTTTTGAAAATGAATAAAGAGAGTTTGAGTTGGTCTTGACGAATACGCAGTCGAGAGTGAGTCCTGGAGAGCCTTGGGGCGAGTGTTGACGCAGTCTAAAAGAGTCTTGGTTCAGCCTTGCGATAGTCTTGGGGATTTTTCCCCAGGGCGCTGTGTCTTATAGAGTGCTCGATTGACCGACTAAGACGAGAGTTGGACCGTATTTCGTCGTGTGTGTCTTATTTGACTGTAAAGTATAAGTGACTTCCCCGATCCCGCACCTCAAGGGGACGCGATAGAGAGACGAGACGAGATTCCCCCCTGGCACGTGTGGAGAACCCCGTAGAGAGAGAATTTTCCCCGTGATAAGACAATCAAAAAACGACGACGAGTTTTATTGTGTAACATTAATCTACATAGTAATTTAATGAACATTACTCCCATTATCTTGCATTCTTTATTTTGGGATATGATTTCGAAAGATTATAATAATTAGATTATTTGTCAACACTTTATATATCGCACACTAATCTCACACGATGTACTGAATGAAATTTCTCGTCATCAAACTCACCGATCGTGCACAATATCCTCCTCGCAGTTAACGTTGTTGCGATACCATTTCTAATCACCACGACTGTTAACCACCAAAACACTACCACTGATATTGCTCCAAGCAATTGAGGAACGGCTGATAAAATGCCATTCTGAAAAATGGATGAAAATGAGCAATGAAACTTTTGTTAATGCACCCACAACATCAAATGTCTTCACAAAAATACAATTGTTATCAATGCACAGATGCACTGTTGTGTGAGGTTGAAGAATAAATAAATAAATAACTTACTGAACTGATATCAAAACTACAAATATGCTCCATATACAAGGGTAAAGTTGCAGTTCCAGTATACATCCCATAGTTTGCACAGAATAGGCCAACTATTAACCCCCATACTGGAATTGATGTACTTATATTTCGTCATGGAATATGTTTGTGCTGGATGACAAATCATACGATGACATTTGTTTTGTGGGAAAATAGAACATATATCGTTATAATATAAGTCACATAAAGATATTTACAAGTAAAAGTACACAAAAACAAATGAATGAAAACAATAATGCAATCTGATTACATTCAGATCACCAGTAATAAACTGACCAACACAATTGAATAAATAGATAAAGCGATCCACAGGCAGTTAGATTTTGAATAAAACTGACAACATTAATGTTTTGCAATGATTGTTGAACACTTTTAGAAACTACAATTCCAGACAAGCATAGAACACTGGCAGATCCAGTATTTCTGGCACACCTACCCCTAAATAAATAAATTCTTCAGATGAACCATACATGGGATAGAAAACAAAAGTGAGACTTACGAAGCAGTACAAGATGAATGTATATTAACAAGTGATTTTTGTAGAGCAACTATTAATATTATCAGAAAAGTGCGATTATGTTGGTTTTGGGTTATTCTTTGTTTGTGTGTTGTTAGTCTTTGCGTTTCCATTCAATCCAGCATGGCCACATTGTAGTATTACGAACATACATAGACAACTTTGAGTGTTGCACAGATTTGAGTGTATAATAAAAAAAGTATTGTTTATCTAGGTAAATTACGATATATTGAGCCCACTGTTTATTCCCTGTCGTTCCAAGCACTGCGCCCATCTCAGCCAGATCAACATTCACACTCACAACTGCACTAATGGGTTGTGTAAATCCAATTTATTTGTCACCAAATCTTTCAAACAGAACAATATTTCATAAAAAAAATAAACTGGAACAGAAATAGTAGCACACCTTATTTACAGCACTTGGTTCAATACATTTTATGATATATTGTTTTTTCCTTATTACTTGGATACTTGGATGTTTATCAGGCGAGTCATATCCAGTGAACAACCACACGATTGTCCATACTAAT